CTCTAATGGATAAGCTTCATTCTTTTTTATTCACTTGGAAGAATTTTCTGTCACTTACACTTTGTTGTAAGACTTTTAAGTTGTAACAACCTTAATTTTGTCAATATTGCTTTCTTTTTTTCTGCCTGACTTTTTAATTCATCCAGTATTTGCCTCTAGAGTCGCAAAGTAAGGAGTTAATCATTAAGTCGCGGGTTCGAATCCCAGGTGGGACGTGGAGACCGGTCCTTCTGATAAACCGAGTCCCGTCGCAGTAGGTGCTGGCACGAAAAAGACCCCTCATTGTTAAATGGCCGTATGTGACGAGTATAGTACAAAAATTAACAGCTCTCCGCTGGCAAGTAGTTGCTTCTTCATATGAGTGAAGAAATCTCGAGTGGGACGTTAAACAACAACCAATCAATCAATCAATCATGTTTTGCATTTTGCCATAGTAAAGGACATCATTTGAGTACTGGTAGAGCGTTCGCTTCGTAATCGAGAGGTCCGGGTTCGATTCTCGTTCGCGGCGCCACTTCAAACCTTAAACATAGATAGTGACTGTTCCTTCGCCAAGCGCTCGGCATTAGAAGTGAAAGTCTTTTGGATATGACCTTAAAAACGTAGGTCCCATGTCACAGTAGGCGTTGGCACAATAGAGAGCCCTCACTGCTCAATGGCCCTCAGTGTCGAGTATAGGTCTAAATTTGAAGCCCTTCACCGGCATACGGTGACGTCACTGTATGTGTGAAAAATTCTTGTATAGAACGTTAAACAATGTACAATCATTTGTCAATCAATCATCTTAGAACTTTGATTTTTTGTTTCAATATGCTTCATTTTTTCCTCAGCTTTAATTTTCTCTGATTGTCTATTTCTTTCAGTGTAGTTTCCCCTTAATTTTCTGCCATCCTTAATGCTATCCTTTATTATTAACTCTCTTTCAGCATTTGGAAGGACTTCCAACTACTGTGATGTTTTATTGATACAAACATCAGGAAAGCTTCATTGGTGATTGTAGAAGAATTAGGTCTATAGCGCAGGGAAAAAATCAAGCATCCCGAATACCCTCTCTGGCATTTTGTTTTGGGGGATTACAAACGTTGTTGTAAACTTTGTGTTACTTCATAATACCTACCTCCAGGAAGTTGTTCTTTCCTCGCCTTCTGCTGCAGTTTGTGTAGTCCTTGAAGTATTAATTGTGCACAGGCACATGCTATGCTGTCAATATTCTTATCTGGTTTAATAAGCATTTCATATACTTCATCCGTCTCCAAAATATCTCAGTCCAAACTGGGTGATTTTCCCCAGAAATAAAAGTGGTGGCATCTTCACTCATATTCTCAAAGTACATTAATAATCTGTAGTACTCCTTCTTCAAATTTAACAGATGTTTGTTACACTCTATGAGTCTCCACAATGGACTTGTCACTTTGTGTGAAATATCAAGAACTAGAGACACAGTCATTTTTTTGAAGCCTGTTAGTTATTCCATGAAATTTTTCAAAATATTGCCTTATCCTTTTGTGATGAGAAAATGTAATTTTACCTATCTGTTACCTCTGAAATCAACAAAGTGCAAATTTGCATTTCCAGACTGACAGTAGGTTCGAAGTGCACTGTAACAACCATTTTTCTCATCACTACTTCTTGCTCTGCTCCTATTCTGTATTGTTTTATGGACTTTAATATTGAATACTGTATGTTAACTCCACATCCTTCATTTTATGGACTTTGATATTGGATACTGTTCGTTATCTCCATATCCATTTCCTTCATACTTCTTGCAAAGCACTTGCCACAGAAACGCAGAAAGGAAATAGTGTTTGGATTAGAAGAATATATTTGATTACATATATCGGCATGACTTCTAAATTCTTCATCTGATTCTTCTTCAAGATCAGGTCGCCCGCGGGGCGCAGTGATTAACGCGACTGCTCTAGAGTCCCGGGTTCGAATCCCACTGTGGGACGTGGTGCCGAGCATAGGACAAAATTTGTAGCTCTCCAGCGACAAGTCGTGGCGCCTCGATATGAGTGAAACCAGAAGTCTCTGTTGAGACTGTAGCTCTACTGGTTTTTACTTATAACAAAGGATGAGAAAAGAAGCCATTGTCATCAGACCAAAACTGTAGAAGGAGTAGCGATTTAAAGGAATTTCACAGACATTTCTATTTCTAGTAACAATGGCAACACTGTTTATCGAAATCAAAAACCGATGCATTATTTTATGTATCTTAGTGTAGTCTACTTGTGTGCCAAGTTATATTGAAATCAGACCAAAATTGTTGGAGGAGTAGCGTTTTAAAGGAATTTCCAGAAAATTCTATTTTTAGTAACCATAGTAACACTGTTCATAGAAATCAAAAACCGATGCACTGTTCTATGTATCTTAGTGTAGCCTACTTGTGTGCCAAGTTATATTGAAATCAGACCAAAACTGTAGAAGGAGTAGCGGTTTAAAGGAATTTCACAGAAAATTCTATTTTCAGTAACCATGGCAACACCGTTCATCGAAGTCAAAAACCGATGCACTATTTTATGTATCTTAGGGTAGTCTATTTGTTTGCCAAGTAATAATGAATCAGATCATAATTGAGAAGGAGTAGCGTTTTAAAGGAATTTCACAGAAAATTCTATTTTTAGTAACAATGGCAACACCGTTCATCGAAATCAAAAATCGATGCTATTTCATGTATCTTAGTTTAGTCTACTTGTGTGCCAAGTTATACTGAAATCAGATTAAAACTGTAGGAGGAGTAGCATTTTAAAGGAATTTCACAGAAAATTCTATTTTTAGTAAGAATGGCAACACCGTTCATTAACATCAAAAACCAATGTACTATTTTATGTATCTTAGTGTAGTCTACTTGTGTGCCAAGTAATATTGAAATCAGATCAAAACTGCAGGAGGAGTAGCATTTTAAAGGAATTTCACAGAAAATTCTATTTTTAGTAACCATGGCAACACCGTTCATCGAAATCAAAAACCGATGCATTATTTTATGTATCTAAGTGTAGTCTACTTGTGTGCCAAGTTATATTAAAATCAGACCAAAACTGTAGGAGGAGTAGCGTTTTTAAAAAACGGACACCTTACTATCGCATAAGCTCTTCTGGTCTCTGACCAGTAGATCTAAAAAAAAATTCGAAAGGGACGTTAACCAACATACAATCAATCATCAATTTCAAATTTTTCCTACTCCCGTCACTTTTCAAACGTTGAAAGAATGGGTGAAATACGCTCTGCAAAATTGATGAACAGGTGAAGTCCACATAAAAAAAATTAACTAAAATTGTAATACAAAGTTGTAGCCCCATGACTCACTGTTTTTCATGAACAATGAAATCAGTTGTATTTCTACATGGCACAACATTAGGTTTTCTTCCCTATAAGTTTCAATTCCTTTATAATGACTGGCCCAACATTTAGAGAGGACACATCACAAGTTTCAATACCTTTATAATGACTGGCCCAACATTTTGAGAGGACACATCATAACTTGTTCATAAAACACCGTCTACATAAGCGTTTGTTGTTGGGTCCAACATTTCTAGTTCAGAGTTGTCTTGTAGGAGTAAGCAGATTTTTAAAAAAATTCTGCTTCTAATTCTTCAATTTTGTAAATGTTTGAGTCCTTCGTTGAGTCAGGCATATCTGCAATAATTTCCTTAGCTTTAACAAGCTCAGTGTTTATTTTCATGATTTGTGCTCTTCTTCTAGTTTGTTTTTAAATTTGCTTGTTGATCTTATTCCAAAGGATGGGACCTTTTCTAACTGAGTTTTGATTAATATGTTTTTCTAATAGGCCTCTTTCATATTTTCAATGATATAAGCTTTTTTGCGAGCGCGCAAGCGACAAAGTCACGTGACACCCGACATTCCAAGGCGGTCTATTTTGAATCCAAAATGGTGAAACGCTGTTCTTGGGGCATATGTAACAGCGATAATAGGTACATGCATAAAGCATACATGAAAGGAGTGGAATTTTTCCCAGTACCAAAGCCTAAAACACGATTAGACGACACCAAACTTTGGGTAAAGGCATGCGGAAGAAAGTTTTTTACCGTTGACAATGTAAACAAACATACATACGTATGTAGCAAACATTTTATTGATGGTCGCCCTACCGAGTTGCATCCCTATCCATTAAATGCCAATTCAAATAGAGTTATTTCGAAAGGTAGAAAACGTGCGACAAGAAAGGACACCTTCACACCAGGAGATAAACAGACGAATGCCAATCTCGGCAAGGATGGATTTGTACCACACCCCGTGCCAGAGGCCTCCTTGTTTGTTACCGTCGAAGAGGAAGAAATCAGTGAAAAAGTCTCAACCCAGCAGCAGCTCACAGAAGGTAAAATATAATTCAAATTTTGAATAAACTCACATGAGATAAACATGAAACATTCGCAGAGTGAAATCTAGATTGATCATAATTATGTGTAACTACAAGTGTAAATAGACCAATTTAAGCTAAATTTCAAAACATTACCGTAAAAATATTAAGGTTCCAAAATTTGAGTGGAAGATCTAGATAAACGCATTTCACTGAGAAAGAATGCACGACATGCAAACACTTACAATGAAATGGAAAAACCCAAAGTTATTTTTAGTCTAAAAAACATACTTTTCAAATACTGACTAGATTTCTAAAGGTTCCATAGGAATTTGAAAATAGAATGTATCGGCTTTTCAACTCGCACTCTGGTGTGTAAAAATGTCATTTAATATTCAAACAAAACAGCTGCTGTTCTTTTTCTTCCAGGCTATTTTCTTTGAGACTATATTACAAGTGGGAGTGGATCACAATTTTTTTAAGAAAATGTAAAAGAGGAGAGCAATTTTTAATATCAGCATCACAAAAAAATTATTGCGAGCTGATCTAACTTGTAACTTCAATTTCCAACATTTCAGTTGATGACCACTTATATGCTAAACCTGTGCAAATGGTTAATGTTGCCACCCAGACCAACCCGGACATAGAGGGAATGTCAAGCAATGAGGAATCCCAGGATAGGGGGAATACAAAGAGACGCCTTCTGATGGAAGATGTATATAAAAATGACATGTCCTGCAAATTTTACACAGGTTAATGAACTTTGTTTCATGTGTAAAGATAATTACTACTTTTGATTGAATTAAAAAATTCTCAGAAATATCATTTTAAATGGAAGAGAGATAGTCTAAGGTTTGGCTGAAAATTAGTATATCTAATATGCATTTTAAATATATTTCTGACTTTGTACATACCTATAATTATTTGAAATCTCATCATGTTACATTTAATAAACTTTGTATCATACTTTATATAATTATATAGTACCGGTACATCATGTAATCACTATCATTTAAGACCAGTGCTAGTTGTTCTCAGATGCCCTAGTTAATCACATTCTAATAAATAAATAATGTATTTATCCTTGATCCATACAGGTATAACATTGGCAGTTTTTACTATCATCTTCAATGTACTTAAGATTAAGGCATCCTCAATGGTGTACTGGAATAGCACAGAAACAAATGAGCGACAGGATTCCAAGGTAATACAATGTCATTACTCTTCTTATCATTATGACCCAAACAAATTTTCTGTGAATCTAATGTGTATTAATTTTAAAAAACCTGTAATGTCTATAAAAAATACACAATTAATTAATACCAACACAAAAAGCCACAATAATGATTGTATTTATTACTTTCATGTTAACAGACTCCAAGAAGAGAACCTAAACGCTTGCTTTCATTGAAAGAAGAATTCACTCTAACCTTGTTGCGACTACGAAGAGGATTTGACACCAAATCACTCAGTGATATGTTTGCCATTTCTGAAAGTTCAGTAAGCCGAATATTTACTACATGGATGTGTCTCATGAGCATTGACCTTGGCTTTCTCATCAAATGGCCATCCAAAGAACAAATCATGGAAAATTTGCCCAAATGCTTTAAACATTTCAAAAAAACAAGATGCATTATTGACTGCACTGAATTCTTTGTGCAAAAACCCAGTCTTCCAACTGCTCAGAGAATAACATATTCATCTTACAAACACCATAATACCTTCAAGTGTTTAGTAGCAATAACTCCATCGGGTTCATTTTGTTTTGTATCTGATTTGTACACTGGTAGTATTTCTGACAAGAAAATAGTACAAGAATCTGGCTTTTTGGATAATATCGAGTTTGGTGATGACATTATGGCGGACCGTGGCTTTCTCATAAGAGGCGATCTAGCATTAAAAGGTGCAACACTAAACATTCCCCCATTTTCTTTTGGAAGACAGATGGGTAGCAATGCCACCACTAAAACGAGAAGGATTGCTCGAGCTCGAATCCATGTAGAACGAGCAATTGGACGTTTGAAAAACTATGCAATTTTGCAAGGTGTTATGACTCTCCAGATGAAGCCTTTGTACAGTCAAATTGTAAAAGTATGTGCAATGTTATGCAACCTTGACTGTCAACTTGTGAAGTAAATCTTATGTGTGTAAATCAGTATAGCACATACATTTGAATAATAAATGACAAAATAATAACAATGCTTTGATAATTTTACATTTTAATGTTACATGTAACTGACATACAAGGATCTGATTCGTCCTTCTTTCAGAGGAAATCATCCGATTAGCTTAATTTTACAAAAAAGTGAAACACTGAAATAGATCTTATGTGACAAAGCATTTTTCACCAATAACACAGTCTTAATTCTGCCTACCAACTCCATTTTTTCAGGAGGTAACAGTACAGTAGTTACATATATTCTGTAGTAAATTAATAGACGCAGCTTTTTTTGCTTAATTTATAATGCAGGTACATAAGCAGTTACTGTTGCATTAAAGATTTAATTACATGTTGTTTAAAAAATGATTCAAGTTTGCTGAGCATCTTCTGGAAAAAATCTGGATTAAAATCAGCATGAGCAACACATATTCCTTTCTTTGTATAAAGTACAAGATTAGATTGATGTATACCGTATATACCCATCTGTCCTTGCATCTGATGATAGTATTCTGAGTTTTCAGAAACAACCATCTCACCTCTCTCATTAATAACACAGCCTTTTTTAAGACAAACATTCTTTGGTTCATCGTCCCTGTGTGTAAAAGGACATTTAACCTCAATAATAGTGCTATCATGGCATTTACATGTAAAAAGACCATCAATAGAACAACCAATGAAATTCATGGTTGGATGTATTCTTAAGCCTTTATGTGACAGAAGGGGATGTACATGTGACTTATGACATACTCTCATGTAATGTTGAAGAGCTGCTTTTTCTTTCTTCTTACCCCACACCAATGATGGAGCTGAAATTTCTCCATATTCACCTAAAATAGTCTTTAGAAGTGAAGGTGGACATTTGTTAGAATCAACTGCTTTGCAGACTTTACTAAAATTAGATGCAGTCAATCTGCCTTTCCTCAGCTCATGCCAAATCTTGCAGTCGGATTGCTCACTTGTGCATGATTCAATGTGAGAAATATTATCATTGGAAAGAGTACATAAATTCTCAGAGTTATTGAATTCATTTGCATTACAAGATGCTACATGTATTTTCTTTAACATGTTTGGCATGGTAAAAGCAGAACATTCAGGACATTGCTGATCAGCTTCATCTCCCTTGTCATTCTGCACTAGTTTTTGTACCTCCAGAATATCTAAGGCTTGTATATTTGGGGATATCTGGAAGAAATTTAAAAAATGTAAATTGAAAGTTTTAAATAACAAATGAAATGTAAACAAAAAATTAGCACTTTAATTATATGATGCTTTATAATTGTACTAGATAACAATGGTGGGCAATTTCAATTGGTTTTTCAAATCAGATAAAAATACAATGCAAAGACAACACTGAAAAAATAAATACACAGAACATAATTATGGGAAATGGGTTACCTCTCGGAGATTCTTTGCTATTTCACTGATTTCCATTTCTGTGTAAGTTTGTCTCTGATCTACACTGCGCGGGTCAAAACTGTGAGCAGGAGACTGGTGATAATCCACACTTGCATACCTTAATTGAAATTTGTGTCAGTCTTGAAATGATTTGTTGTAGGTACATCATCATTTTTTTTTCAATATATTTTTTAAAGTCTTAATTCTTACCATTGATTATAATGGCATAATAAAACTTACTTAATAATATTTGAAGTGCATGTACATATGATATTATGTAAAGCACAAACAATAGACAAAATATAATACTAATTAACACATTACTCAGTATGTATCCTAATTGTAGTCTCTGTGTCAATTAAATGTTCATTTAAGAATCAATCATTCAGACCTAGAGTTTACTTTTAAGAATTAAAAGATTGCAAATTTATCATAACATTCTACAAGAGTCATAAAAGAACAAATACCTAGCTTTCAAGATTTTAAGTTGCTTTATAGGCACTGGGCAATCATGATGTCGTGGTCGTTTTACCCACAAGTTATCTCCATCTGTCACTGACTTGACATCAAAAGCCTCAATTTCATACAGGGTTGCTCCGATGTGGCGACATCCTCCATCAGCTCTACAATAACAGATTGATGTCATTTGTAAGAAAACATCACCCCCCTTACTCAATAAAGTCATCAGTTGCAGTGGTATATATACATATACTTGGATTTTTTTTAAACATATAGATAGATGTGTGTATAATGCAGGCTGCATTGAACCTACTTCTGCAAATAAAATTAATTACATGTCACAGGTGTTTTGTGTGGTCATTCACTCATTGAAACCAGCTTACATCCTACTCAGTGTACCTGTCTCACTTATATTTATAAAAGTTTACTTACCCTCCAATGCATGTGCAGTAAGCACAATTTACGCTTCCACTTTTACACATAACCACCCAAACATCATAAGCTGTTTTATTTAGGTAAGTCCTATCCTTCTGCGTAGGTTTCACGCAGGATTTGATAAGGTAATTATCTCCATCTTCAAGTTCTTTCATTTCTAACTTCTCAACATACCCATCAAAGAATAGTCTATATTAATCTTCACAAGATTTGTACGCTTTTAATTTCCTTTGATCATAATTTGCAGTTTTATATAACAAGTAATTAAACACATCATACAGGGAAAAAGTTGGTAATTTTGTGAGATCGTTAGAAAGTCCTTGGATCTTGAAGGGGTCAACAGAAAACTCGCCGAGAATATCGTATATTGACACTGGATGATCGGCGCACATATCGGGATCATCTGGTAAGTTCAGCTTAACAACTGCCTCACATAGCTTTACCAAGTTCTCTCGTTTCACATTTGAAACAGAAATCCCTTTTCCTCTCAGAATCTCGTGCAGTTCTACCACTTTCAAGGATGTAAACATTGTAGACGACATGTTAACTATAGACGCTTTGTCGGGTATCACGTGACAATGTAAAACTAAACGTTAAAACCATTCCGGGTTCAACGTTTTATGAAAGAGGTCTATTTTGGACAAGTTGGACAATTTCGTCCTTGATTTTTGTAATTTCTTCCATTGCTTTTTATTTCTCTAAATTTCATGAAGTTCAAAAGATAATTTTGTGCAAGTTTCTTCACAATTTTCATACCTCCCGCTTGAAAAGCGGCGAGGGTCTATAGTAATCGAGATGTTCGTCCGTCTTTCCGTACGTCCCTCCGTCTGTTACGCTTTGGGGTACCTATCTCTTATCCGCAACTCCTCTCATACCACTGAATGAAATTTGATGAAACTGTCACAGAATCTTTATTACATATTGCCATTGTGCACCTCCTATTTTACATTTTTGATCCGACACATTTTTAGGTCACCTGATTTACCCAGGTGACCTATTGCTATCTGTTTAGTCCGTCGTCGTCCGTCGTGTTTTAACATTCGAACATTTTCAGCTTCTTCTCTGAAACCATTGAACCAATTTCAACCAAATTTGGTATAACAGCATTTATGGGTGAAGGGGAACAAAAATTATGAATTTTATGGACCCCGCCCCCCTGGGGCCTGAGGGGTGGGGCCAAAACCACCAAAATTATTGCAATCTTTAAAAATCTTCTTCTTTACTCCTGGACATCAAGCAGGCAAACTGTTGGCATGAACGTAATGAGCATTGAGTCCTCTACCAAAATTGTGAAATTCATGGCCCCAGGGTCAGGGGTTTTTGTGCTAGGGCGGGGCTATGTAGATTACATAGTGAAAATGCATTATTTCTTTGAAAAACTTATTCTCTGCTCTTGGGTATTAATTAAACTAACTAAGTACATAGTTATGTTGAGCAAAAGTGCTTCTTCCAAAATTGTGAATTTTATGGCCCCATGGTCAGGGGTTCTGGTGTTAGGGCAGGGCTCTATTGATCATATAGTGAAAAAACATTTATTGTTTGAAAATCTTCTTCTCTGCATCTGGGTATTAAATGAACTAACTAAACACATAGTTATGTTGAGCAAGAGTGCCTCTTCCAAAATTGTGAATTTTATGGCCCCAGGATCAGGGGGGTTCCGGTGTTAGGGTGGGGCTCTATTGATCATATAGTGAAAATGCATTTATTCTTTGAAAATCTTCTTCTCTGCTTCTGGGTATTAAATGAACTAACTAAACAAATAGTTATGTTGAGGAAGAGTGCCTCTTCCAAAATTGTGAATTTTATGGCCCCAGGATCAGGGGTGCTGGTGTAAGGGCGGGGCTCTATTGATCATATAGGGAAAATGCATTTATTCTTTGAAAATCTTCTCTGCTTCTTGGTATTAAATGAACTAACTAAACACATAGTTATGATGAGCAAGAGTGCCACTTCCAAAATTGTGAATTTTATGGCCCCAGGGTCAGGAGTTCTGGTGTTAGGGCGGGGCTCTATTGATCAGATAGTGAAAATGCATTAATTCTTTGAAAATCTTTTACTCTACTTCTGGGTATTAAATAAACTAATTAAGTTCATAGTTATGTTAAGAAAGAGTGCCTCTCCCAAATTGTGAATTTTATGGCCCCAGGATCAGGGGTTCTGGTATTAGAGCGGGGCTCTATGCATTAGTATGAAAATGCATTAATTCTTTGAAAATCTTTTCCTTTGCTCCTGGGTTTTATGCCAATGATCCAAGTATATATATTTATGATGAAGAAAGGTGCATCTAGCAAAATGGTTATTTTTTATGCCCCTGGGTCGGGGGGGGGGGGGGGGGGGGGGGGGGGGGGTGGTTCATAGTCTGAAAATAAATTAATGCTTTGAAATCTGCTCCTCAGTATTAATCAACCATTTTATGATAAGATTTGCAAAATTTTGAAGTATGTGGCCCCAGGGTCAGCGGTTCCTTTGGGGTGAGGTGCACAACTGGTTATAAAGTGGAAGTGCATTTTCTCTTTGTTACTCTAATCTACATCTGGGTATTAGGTAAATAGAGTAAGCATGCTAAGTTTATAATTATGATAAGCAATGGTGCCTCTTTCAAAATTGTGAATTGTGAATTTCATGGCCTCTGGTTTAAAACACGAACCAATTTTAATTGTTTGAAAGTTGTTGCACGATACTCAGGTGACCTATAAGGCCCGTGGGCCTCTTGTTTGGGTTTCCCACAGCAAAACGAGGACACTTTCATTATATTCATATGGGAAGCGGGGGTATCATTTAGTGAGCTCACTGCTCACAGCACCTCTAGTTATACCCCCCGCTTGAAATGCGGTAGGGTAGATAGTAATCGTTATGTCCGTCCGTCTGTCTGTTACTCTTTGGGGTACCCATCTCTTATCCGCAACTCCGCTCATACCATTGAATGAATTTTGATGAAACTTTTACGGAATCTTTATTACATATTGCCACTGTGCATCTCCTATTTTACTTTTCGATCCGACACATGTTTTGGGTTTCCCATAACAAAAAATGGACACTGCCATTATATTCATATGGGAGGCGGGGGTATCATTTAGTGAGCTCATTGCTCACAGTACCTCTAGTTTTATTTGTTTAAATTTTCCTTCACGAGGGGCTGAAGTGTTGATTGGAATTTAAAAAATTACCTTTCAAAGTCATCTTTAGTTTTCCCTTTTATTGTACTTTTATTTGATTTACTTTGTTTAAAAATTTGGATGGCGGTCTTTACAATCATTGAAAAGCGGGAAGGTATATAGTAATCGTGATGTCCGTCCGTCTGTTACGCTTTGGGGTACCGATCTCTTATCCGCAACTCCTCTCGTACCACTGAATAAAATTTGATGAAACTGTCACAGAATCTTTATTACATATTGCCATTGTGCTCCTACTATTTTACTTTTTGATCCGACACATATTTGGGTTTCCAATAGCAAAACATGGACATTGCCATTATATTCATATTGGAGGCGGGGGGTATCATCTAGTGAGCTCATTGCTCACAGTAGCTGCAATAATGTAGCCCTCTCCGTTTTTTTTTTGGTTTTTTTTTTTGGGAGAGGGCTACAACTCCTTAGGATCTCCATAATGGCGCAGAGCGGGAGCGATTCGCTCCCGCACGGATTTCAGCTCAAATTGTCTGTAAACAGCTATTTTATTTATATGTCTTACCTGAACTTCCAAATTGTAGTTATCCCAGACATAAATCGGTCCAAAAATATACAGAACAATCCATATATCAGTATTTTTCGTGTATGTCAACATCACAACTTAAATTTATCCGCCATGTTTACTGACCTTGACAGATTATATTTTGGGACAGCCAATGAGATTAAGGATCTATAGGGAGCGGATTTCTTTGGAATTACCTTATTTTAAGCCTAAATATCACAGTTTACGAAAAAATGACACATGGAATAGTTTTATTCATCGATGCTTAGTGTTACTATTCATCACTATTATTTAGAAACATCGACATTTGCTTTATTGAGTTATTCGAAATTTCAAGCGCAAGTCTCACTACGTCACGCGTGAACTGTCATGGCTGCTGAAAAAGCGAGAAGAAATCATACAGATTTATTTTACATGGTTTTCGCGTTTAACGAGCTATGATGTCGACAGTGAATAAAAATTTCGTCTTATTAGAAGTAAGTTGAATGTAAAAACAATTTATTCGGCCTGCAGTCGCTCGTATTTAAAAAATATTTTTGCACCATTACGGAGATGCTATGGAATTGTAGCCCTCTCCAGAAAACATCAGATAAAAAAATCGGAGAGGGCTACATTATTGCAGCTATGCTCACAGAACCTCTAGTTTGCAATGCTACAAGAATATTTGGTAGCCGACAGGCTCTTCTCAGTTTTCTCAAAATGGAGTGATATTCCTGCATATCGAGAAAACCGTCAGAGTATAAATCTTTCAGAAGACTGCCGATTTTTTTTGTCTACGTATTGCTCAACTTTTCTAATAAGGGTAGGTTTTACGTCATTTTGAATAAGTTGTATTTGCAAAAGGTCCATCAGTATGAGCACTATTAATCAAGCACACTTCAACTGCTAAAAGGCCATCCCTATATATTTCACAAAAAAGAGTCAACTAATGCTACTGCTAAAAAATGTCATATAATTTGAGGGGGGCTTACGTCATCTTCTGGACTTAAATTTTTGGAAGCCATTAACTAGTCCTATTAATTATAAGTATGAATAGTGTTGTCTATCACGGTCTCAATAAGAGTAACACATCACGGATATGTTGCTCATATGGCCTACTAAATCTTAGTTCATCACTCTTCCAATCAACCGATATGTCGTTGCTTTCTTACATATTTGATTCGCTTAGTGATAATTCTGTCCCGCCAAAGATTGGTGACCCAATTGTTACCTCACTTCCTAAACAGATCAGACAATCATAATGATCTGTGAACTCATCGTACTGGAAGAGAAATGAAAAAACTTACCATTAACATTCAAAGCATCAAATCTAAACGAAAAGCCTTTTGGAATCTTGTTGAATAGTCTAACGTCATGTTAGGCTGTAAAATGTTGCTAAATCCATCCAAAGGCTCGCAAGAGGTAATACCTATTGAATATGTTACTTACCGAAAAACTGCTGACGAATATGG